CGTTGACTTTCTCATTTCCTACTTCTGAACCATGTTTTCCAATTTTTTCCCCATCTTCCCCGATTCCCATCTTTGCAATGTAGTCATTTAGTATTAAATATATATGTTCATTTAATTTAGAGGGTATTATAAAGTTCTTCAAAGACTTTCTGTCACATAAGCTACAATTACCTTCCCGGTGGTCTTTTTGCAAATGCTTATTATAAGCAACACAAAACAAAGTAGCCAAGCATCCCATGAAACTAAACATCCTTTTGCCTTTAGGTATGATAAAAACCAATTCTCCTTTATTTACAGACTCCTTCATTTGCCTCTCCAAGTAGAACATGTAATTCATCCTTCAATTTAGTTTCAACTTCTTAATTTTTTTTGTTGTCACCCTTTATTTTTTATACCACAGTTCTTTCCCAATCAGCTTCCTCTTCCACTGACCCTTTCCTTTTAACTAAGAAAAACTGATAAATCAAGGTAGATTGAAAAAATCAACCTCATCTACAACTAGGATGAATGGATGAAAGTTGCAGGGGCAGATCTCTGCTTGATATAAAGAAAAACTTCCTAACAACTTCCAAAAGTGAAATGAACTGCCACATGAGGTAGTGACTTTCCTGTCAAGGAGATTTTCAAACAGATGCTTGGTTGACCTTTTGTCAGAGATGCTACAGAGAGATTTCCTATTCAGGTACAGTTTGAATTGTATGCCCTCTGAGTTTTCTTAGCACTCTGATATTTTGTGCTCCTATGAAATAAAAAAGAATGACAATGACAAGAGCTGAACCCCCTGCTACCTCGTTGTTTTGCTTTTTTTCTCACCTTGGTCTTTAGTACAAAACCAACTTTTTCAGTTTGCGGGAAAACACAAATCCTTACAGTCGCAAACTGATATATACAAACAAACATGCTTTTGTTTGATCACATTTAACCCACCAGGGAGCACTGCTAGGCACTACTCTGATTCTGCTCCACAACAATTGGTTCTGAATGGTCCCATGTTCTATTTAGGTGGTTATGTGCCCCAACAAGACACAGGGGAATTGTTAAGTCCTGTATTATTCTCAGAGAACCTTGAGAATCTCTGTACCCCAGCTCTATCTCTCTTGTGAATGTCAGTGTTCATTTCCTTTTTTTTTTTTTTGCTTTTTGGTGAGGCAATCAGGGGTGTGACTTGCCCAAGGTCACACAGCTAGTAAGTGTCAAGTATCTGAGGCCGGATTTGAACTCAGGTCCTCCTGACTCCAAGGCCAGAGCTCTATCTACTCCACCACCTAGCTGCCCCATGTTCATTTCCTTAGTCTAAGGATTGTGGTCTGTGTGGATTTATCAAATTAAACTCTTGGCTTGAACCCATACATTCCAGGAAAATTCTATCATTCTCCCCTTCATGCTGTGTTTCAATAGATCCAAATCCCAAAAGAGTGGCATCATTGAGTCAAGCACAGAAGCATGGTTTAAACGTGTCCAGTCTTAATTCATTACCAAAGAAATAAAAAGAAAGAGATAAAATTAGATGTACATTAAAAGAATTCCTCTATGGCTTATTTCAGACCTAGACAGGCTTTAACGAATATAGTTATAACTATAGTCCTAATCCAGGTCAAACTATAGTTATAACTCAATCATAAGTGTAGTCCAAACCTAGGAGTTCCTGACTAAAGTTCATTGCAGCCCATCATTCACAGCCACCAGAAGAAAGCCAATATCCACACTGTTGGGTTTAGCAAACATATTCCCATGTGCTTTTTCATTCTCAGAATCCTGAAGGGTAAAAGTCCAAGAGTGTGTAACCTCATGAAGGTAGGGACTTTTCCATTTTTGTCTTTGTTGACTAGGAACCCCTTTCTGACCATTTTCAATTTTATCTTTGTAATCTTTTTTATCTCATGCCTAGCAGAGTGCTTGGCATGTAGTAGGCATTTAACAAATGCTTGTTGGCTAAACAAACAAATGAATAAATGAAAGGTCTACGAAGACCAAGGAACTTGAGAATTTGAATTCACTCCCAGCACTGCTCCTTTTCCACTTGAAACTCTGTTACTGGAAGCAACTCCCAATCCTGCCCTGTGACTTCTCTGTAAATGGTTCATCATATGGGCAACATGAGACTGTTGGATACTTTTTTCTTGTTCAACACTAGTAAAATCATGGAGTCTAGGGGGCAGCTAGGTGGTGCAGTGGATAGATTCAGGAGGACCTGAGTTCAAATCCAGCCTCAGACATATAACACTTACTAGCTGTGTGACCCTGGGCAAGTCACTTAACCCCATTGCCTAGTCAAAAAAACAAAAGAATCATGGAGTCAGAGGCAAACCAGGTACAGAGAGAAACTCCTCTGGCTACAGTCTCCCTTCTCCCACTTAAATTATCACTCCTGGAGAGGTTGCCTGGTGGCTGGCATGTCACATCATTCCCAGCTCTGAGCTAGTCTTTTGGTATGGTCTCTGCTTTCTGTTTAAGTCTACTGATTCAGGAAGGCCTGAGTTCAAATCCTGCCTCAGACTAGACGTGTGACCCTAAACAAATCATTTAATCTCTGTCAGCCTCAGTTTCCTCATCTGTAAAATGAGAGTGTTGGACTCAGTGGCCTCTAAGATCCCTTCCATCTCTAAATTTATGATGCTATGTAACATGGGCCAATGCTTTTCAGATAAGGAAGAGAATAAGTATTTATGTAGTGCCTGCTATGTTCCAGGCACTGTGCTAAGAGCTAAGGCAAACGGAAGTTAAGTGACTTGCCCAGAGTCACTCAGCTGGTAAGTGTCTGAGACCAGATTTGAAGTCAGGTCTTCCTAAGCACTATTGAAGGATTAAATGAGATACTATTTATAAATCTCTTTGGGGTTTTCTTGTAAATACTAGAATGGTTTCCCATATCCTTCTCCAGATGAGGAAACAGGCAAACAGGATTAAGTGACTTGCCCAGGGTCACACAGCTAGTAAGTGTCTGAGGCTAGATTTGAACTCAGGAAGATGAGTCTTCCTGAGTCCAGGCCTGGTACTCTATCCACTTTGCCACCTACCTGTCCCTGTAAATGTTAGCTATTTTTAATGCAGTGTATTACTATTCCTATGGGCTCTATGTTTTCCCTTATGCATGTGTCTCTAGGCTTTCATCAGTATTGTTTTCATCATCAACATGATCATCACCATCAAACATCTAGGATCATAGACTTCAGAGCTGGAAAGAAATTTGCTAGCTCCAAACCCCTCATTTTACAGAGGAGAAATTTCATGCTCAGATAGGAGAAGAAATTTGCAAAGGGCCAACAGGTAGTATCTAAGCACCTACCTTGTTTGGGACCCTGTGTTGTCACTGAAGACACCAAGAAAATGTCTAGGGTATAACTTCAAAAACAGGAGAAAGAAAAATGACTTTGAATGGAAAAAAAACCAGAGAAACAAAGGATATGGGGAGATATGAGGAGGGAAGGAGTAAGATGGAAAAAGAGGGAGACTGACAGAGAGACAGAGACAGGGATGGACAAAGTGAAAAAATGAAGAGATGTAGAGACAAAGAGTGAATAATAAGGAAAATGAAAGAAGGGAGGAGAGAGCATAAAAGAAAAAAAAAGTCCAGAAAAAAGAGGAAAGACAAGCGGGAGAAATAAAGAAAATGCCCATAAGGAAGAAATAGATGTAAGAGAAAGTGAGGGACAGATCGAAACAGAGAGGAAGAGCTCATTTCTAGTCAAACAAGACAGGTTCCCCTTGCCCTTTCCCACAGACTAACACAATAATAATAATAATAATAATAATAATAATAATAATAACAACAATAATAATAAATTCAAGACTCAGGTTATCCGGAGCTTAGTGAATGCTCCTGTGTTCCAAGCCCCGTATTAGGGCTCGCTAAGGAAACTACTTTCTTTGTTCTCTGTGGAGAAAATTCATTTTTTTCTGCTCTGAGTAGGGATTGTATATTTTTCTAGTCTCTTCATGTCTTCCCCAACATGCATTCACACCACATACAAACGGAACAGATAGACAAAGATTTGAAAAAAAAAATCCTTTAAAAGACCTAAAATAGGGAAAGACCGAAGACCTGTAAGTCAGGCTCCCATGTACATCCTCTGAACGATAGACACTAAAAGGATGTCTCAATCCAATGAGAAGGCAACCTCTTTAGCCCTAAGTCTTTCGATTTAAAAAAAAAAAAGTATTTCTGCCTTTTGTGTTTTTACACCTCGAGCAGTTCCCTAAACCCTCTCCCTCCCCGCCCCCTTGCAGCTCAGATTGCCTGCCAACCTTATAGCTCCGGTGGGAAACCGGGGAGGGGGGGGGGGGTCGAGACCTGGAATGAGACTTGCCTCATTTCAGTTAAAGGTGCATGGGAAAGTCCCTACATGTCAGTTTCCCCTTTTATATGAGGGTGATGGTTCTTGCTGTACCTGGCGCACGATGTAACTGGGAGGAAAGCGTGCCAAGAGAAACGCCAATCTTAGTAAGGCTGTTCTGAGGTCGCCTGCTGCTCTCACAGTCAGGCTGTAAAGTCTTTGAGACCGTGTTCGGGTTTGTATTGATACTCGCAAGCTCTCCTTCTAGGGCTTTTAAGAGGTCGAGGGCTTCTTGGGCATGCCAAAAAAAAAAGTTTAGACATCTTAAACATTGTATCTCTAATTCCAAAAATCTTATTTCTGCCTTGAAGAATATGTGTGTGTGTGTGTGTGTGTGTGTGTGTGTGTGTGTGTGTGTGTGTGGTTGTGTGTGTGTATGGGGGTTGAAGGTGGTGATCTGAACTAAGTGAAATGAAACTGGAACCCACCCAATACACACACACACACACACACACACACACACACACACACACACACACACACACACACACACACACACACCTCCAACCGCCAGATGTTCTCAAAGCTCGTAACCATCTGTTGAGATTTCTCCACTAGCCCAGGATGGGGTGGGGGGAGCTGGAGTGGAGGGGAGGAGGGAGGCAGGGTGCCGAGGGCGGGACGGCGGAGGAAAGCTTGGATAAAAGGGAAGAGATAGATGGTCTTAGGACCAAACGGGCTGGACCAGAGGGGGAAAGGAGCTGAGCACTTTTGAGACACTCCCTAGGGTGGGAGAAGCCGGCTGCGGGGCGGAAAGAGGCGGGACCGGGGCGGGCCTGGAGGGGAGGAGGAGCGAGCCCTGACTCGGGCCCTTTCGCGACGCTCCCTGGAGCTCCTGGGCAGCTGTTCCGCGGTGCCTGCGGGAAGGAGGGAGGTGGCAGCAGCGGCAGCCGCCGGAGGAGGAGAAAGAGGAGGAGGAGGACACAGGCACGCACAGAGGGGATGAGAGCCCCGCGCTCGGGCTAGGCGGCGGCCGCAGGATGAGCAAAGACAGGCTGGAGAAGGGGCTGGCGGCCCAGGCGAAGGACTGAGCACCGCGGGGAGGGCGAGCGCCACTGCAGCCGGCAGACTAGACGGGAGCGCTGGAAGGTGTGTGCGCGGCGGGGCCGGGGCAGCAGCAGAAGGACGAGGGGGGGTCTCGCATTCACTCTCCCGGTGCACCCGATTGGCATTGGTGGGGCAGCTGCTACCTCCTGGGCGTGCAGGCGCCGGGCACCGAAGCCCTCCCTCCCTCCTTCCCTTCTTCCTTCCTTCCTTCCCTCCCTCCCTGTCGGGGCCCCAGCTCCCTGCCTTTCTCTCCTCACCCTCCCCCAGGAGCCCGCCGGCTGCTGGCTCTCCCCCCCGAGCTCATTCAAAGCCCCGGGCTCCCTCCTAAGGCTCGCTTTGCCTGCAAAGCGCTCTCCACTCTGCAGCCTGGGCCGGAAGGCTGGAAACTCAGGCTCAGCTCCTGTCCCCTCTCCTCTAGCTGCCTCCTCTGATGATCATCCTTGCACTGCCTGCGGTCAGGGCTGCCTGCAAGAAAGCGCTCAAGGCATTCGCCCTTCTTCTAGAAATGGGAGCTACTAGTATCCCCATATTTTACTAGAGAGGGAAACTGAGCCTCAGAGAGCAGGAAGGTGATTTGCCCGCGAGTCACCAGGGCTGATCAGTGACAGACGGAGCTGGGTCAAGATGGGGTTTGCATATGTCCTGTGTCCAGATACAGGCTCTTTCCACCGCACCACGCGGCCTCCCGAACTTTTCTCCAACTTCGAGCCCACCCCTTCTCCCCACTTACAGCTGGGTTCGTGACTGGGTGTGGATTTTACTCGAGAGGCAGGGGGTCAGGGCGCAAGGTCTTTCTGGGCCAGCCTCAATTTTCCCTTTTTCCCCAAGCTAGTGGCTGCACCTTTCGCTGGGGGGCTCCGGGAGTGGCCTATTGGCTTCTAATTTGGATGCAGCCAGGAAAGCGGGGTGGAGATGGGGGGGGCAATGGGAGGAGGAGAAATGTGGATTCCGAGGCTCACATAGGCTTTGGAAGACAAAGGCCAGTGAGGGGTTGGCTAGAAAGGAGGTGGTCTCAGCTTCATCCTACAGCTGCTGGCCACAGAGAGAGGGTAAGGGAGTGTGTGTGTGTGTGTGTGTGTGTGTCTGTGTGTGTGTCTGTGTCTGTCTGTCTATGGAAAGGTGTCGGGATTCGGAAGCAGAGAGGCTGGGTTACGATCTCTCCTCTCTTACTAACTAGCTGTGTAACCTTGGGCAAGTCATTTACGCTTTTCTGGGGGCTTAGTTTCCTCCTCTCTAAAAGGTGGCAGGGATAGGATAGACTTACAGTTTCTCAGGTTCATCGCTTCTCCAAATCCTACGACTCTATTTGCTTGCTTGTGTAATGTTTTCGGGTTAGCTTTCGCCCTACCCACCAGTCCTCCTTTTCCAGAATGGGAAGGGGGTGTTGTGAGTCCAGAAATTCATCGCTTCCCACTCCCTGTTCAGAAGTTGAAATCCCCAGAACGAAACTCTATACCCTTTGGAGGGGGGAGGAATCAATCCACCACCACCGTGAGGGGAAGAAACGAAGATATAGGGGAGCCTCTGTAAAAGAAGGGGTCCTTGATTTACTTGAGTGGGGGTCTGGCTGTTAAGAGAGGCAGAAGAGTCTCCCGAAAACAGGAGACTAGAGCCTTCTGCCAGGTCACTCACATCCTGGCTAGCTCGTCTCCTCCCTGAATGTCTTTGCACTTTGGAGGGGGGAGGGGGGGGATGGATGGCAGAGGGACCGACCGCCTTGCTACGGCTGCAAGTCCAGCAGCCCCAGCGGCTAGGAAGGCTCTGGTCCCCGCCCCAACAACCCCACACTTCGGAGTTGGCTCCGCCTCCCCCCCATTTGGTCTGGCCCTCCCTCCCTCCCTCCCTCTCCCAGTTTGGAGAGAGGGGCTGTAGGCTGTGAGGGTCTTGTACAGCACCACCCCCAACCACCTCGTTTGCCTGGGATGAGTCTATTTCCAAACTGGGGGGAGAAGGGGCCATGACTAAGGAAAGATGAGATGAGGGGACCCTACTTTTCGAATGGTTCAGAAGTTTCTCCCTCCTCCATTCTGTCTGGATCAGCCCAGACATGCCAGCCAGAGAAAAGACTAAAACCTTAAGAAAGGGGGAAGTAGGGGGTGGGGAGTGACTGGCTCTGGGTTGTTTCATGGTCAGAGCTAGGAACCAGCCCTGCACACAGAGAGGGGGCAGTTTCCCAGCCAGAAATAGGATGTAACAATAATGTCTGTCCCCAACCCCTCAAACTCCTCTGACCCAAAACTTTGCTGGAGCCAAAGGATCCCCACCCCTTTTCTGAATTACTGATGCTCAGAATTTATTGCATTTCTTCCTCCCCAGCTTCTCTCTGCTCCCTCCGCACTCCCCCCCCCAGCTCAATAGTGATGTGTTGCAGAGATTCCTAAGTGCTCATTCCCAATTTAAGGAGAGGAGAGGAGATGAAGAACTCCTTAGAATGTCATTGGGAACATACCAGAACAGTGAATGATAGAGCTGGGGAGGGACCTTAATGGGACAGTGAAGGAATATTGGATCTTGAGTCTGAGAAGGAAAGTTCAAAACCCACTCCTGCCCCTTACTAGCTGAGAAACTTTGAACAAGGCATCTTTTCTCTCTGGGCCTCAGTTTCCTCATCTGTAAAATGAGGAATTTAGATGATTTGGTCTCTTAGGTCCTTTCCAGCTCTTCCACAATATGAACTTAAGAACACAGAAGACATAAGGTCACAGCTAGAAGAGACTTTACAGCAGGGGATCTTAACCTGGGTCCATAGACCCCTATAGATTTCAGGAGGTCTGTGAACTTGAATGGAAAAAATATATAACATCTTTACTTTCACTAACCTCTAACTAAAATTTAGCATATCCTTCAATTATGGATTTTATAAAAAATCATTCTGAGACGAGGTCTGTAGGCTTCACCAGACTTCTAAAGGGATTCATGATACAAAGAAGGCTAAGAACCCCTGCCTTACAGACTGTTGGCCTTACACCTAGAGCCCCTCCCATTCTACAAAGAAGGAAACCAAGGCCCACAAGTAGGAAGAGAAGAAGGGACATTAGACTAGGAGGCAGGACACTTGATATGTTATTTTGACTTTTTGTGACCTTGGACAAATTGGTTTCCCCTTCTGCTCCTCTGCAGCCTTGAACCTGAAATGGAGATAGTAATCCCTGCCTTGCCCAATTCCACAGGCCCATCAAGGGTCAAGGATCAAGTCATTCTTACTGGATAGGAAATGCCTTATAGCTACAGAGCACCATACAAAGGTGAACTAATAGTGCTGATTCTGGTATTAACATGTATGTTATTGTCGTTCAGTCATTTCAGTCACATCAAGTCTTCATGATCTCTTGTGGGGTTTTCTTGGCAAGATCCTAGAGTGGGTTGCCATTTCCTTCTCCAGCTCATTTTACAGATGAGGAAAGTGAGGTAAACAGGGTTAAACAACTTGCACAGGGTCATACAACTAGAAAGTATCTGAGGCCAGATTGGAACTCAGGTCTTCCTGATTCCAGGCCTGGTCCTTTATTTATTGCCCCACCTAGCTTCAAATTAACTTATATAACCTTGGGAAAGACAGTTCCCCTTCCTGGGCCTCAGTTTCTCTGTCTATATCGTGAAGGAACTAGACTGTGTTGATATCTGAGATCCTGTCCCTAGGCAGAGCTGTCTGGCTAATTGTCAGGGTACATACAAAAGTCCTGCTTTGTTCACTGCAGCGCTCAAAAACACAAAAGAAAGTAATCTCTTCCATTTCCTAATTTTCAGAGCACTTAGTCTATAAAAATCATAATATTTTAATACTTGGATGTGTCTGTGATCTCAGTGATGTGGGCGTGCCCTCCACCAGTGTAGATTACAACTCATTCATATAAACCTCACATTTATAGAGTGTATTATCTAACAGCTGGCATTAATAAAGTGCTCCAAGATTAATGGAGAGAGCATTAGAGTTGGAATCAGGAGAACCTGGGCTCAGTCCTCAGCTGTGGCATCAGCCACGTGACCCTGAGTAGTTATGTAACCTTAGTTTCCCCTTCTACAAAACAGGGATCGTAATACTTACAGTCTCTATCTCACAGGGTTTTTGTGAAGCTAAAATGAGATGATGTATATGAAATGCTTTGTAAATTAAAGAAGGCAAATATTATTGTTCCTGTTTTACAGATGAAGAAACTGAGGTTTGTAGACATGGAAATGACTTACCCAAAGTCACCAGTCTTGTAGCCAGATCGGAGTTCTTTTCACCACAGTGCCTCTCTTCTGGCCTTTGCTGTGTTCTCCATTGCATTAATTCAATCTGGCAAACATTAATTAAGCTCCTATGGTGTGCAGAAGAACACTGTGCTAGGCAGCAAAGAAAATGCTAAGTGTAGAAAGACATACCTTCATGGAGCTTACAGTCTAGTAGAGGCATCTAGATGTCTTATGACAGACAGAAACAGCATGTAAGATAAGAGCATCAGAGAGGCACAAACTGAGTGCCTTGCAAAACCCAGAGGCTTACCAGCCAGGGGATGAAGGGAGCCTTCTTAGAGGAGGTAGAATTTGAATTGGGCCCTTTAAAGGATAGTTAGGACAGACTAAGGAGGGAATTATTGTGTGCTCATCTTTTCTGCCAGATGTATGAAGGGCACAGAGTTCATCTCCTGCTTTCATCTCTTTATCTTCCCCAGTACCAAACATAGATTTGCCCAGAATAAGTGTTTAGAGCATCTTTTTATGATCTTGAACAAGAAACCCATCTGGAATGGAGAATCAGTGAGGGGAAGCACGTGGTCCTTACCCAACCTGGAGGAGCTGGGTTGGGAGGCGGTACATAGTGCAGACAGTTTGCTTTGACAGCCGTGAAGGGAGTGATTCCCAGGTGTGACCTGATGGGAGGGTGAATCTTAGTAGGATGTGTGTGTTATATATATACATATATATTATATATTATATTATATACATATAATATATACACATAATATGTCATATGTGTGTGTGTGTGTGTGTGTGTGTGTGTTCAAGTAGTTAGCCACGTCTAGTCCAGTCCAGGACAGAATGTTAGGTAGAATTTTTCA